ACCAAAATTATGATCTGTGGAGAGTGCACTCTCGTGGGCTTGTCTGGTTTGAACAAGAAAACAAGGTTCTAATTGAGACCCAACTTTATTTAACTAATGTTTCCATGCTTTCACAGCCTTAATAGAAAAGCTGTTTATATAAAAATTAGATAACAATCAGTTGCACTGTTTGTAATAATAAATGTTTAAAAGCAGTGAGATTTCTATTTTTTATTTTATGGGAACAAAGGGAGACAAATGGATATGCCCAGGCCAGCTGAATGTCTGGTCTGGGCCACAGATAAAATAGTTTTACATGTGTACGCAACCATTACATTCATATTTTATTGAGCACTCAAAGAGGTTATGTACGAATATATTGTTTTTTTTATTGTTGTTGCAAGCAAGGAAAATCCTTTGCGATGGTATAAAAGAAAACATATTCCAGAAATGAAACTCTGTAAAAAAATAAAAATAAGGGTTGATAGTAACCTATGTATAAAAAAAAAAAAAAAAAATTAAATTGTTTTAATTTCTGTCATTTTTTTTATATTTTCGAGAAAATTTTTTTTTTTTTTTCAAATGCCCTGTATGAGTCTACATGGACAGCAACAACATTGCAACAAGTGTACATTTTTACAATTGTTAGAATACAAAATAGTTTGCACTCAATCCCGTTTTTTCATTATGAAAATTTTCAGTTTCATTTTTTGGACTCCTTCTTTCATGGTTTTAAGTCATCATCAGTGTGAAAACAATGGGTTCTTTAAAATTTCCTTTAAAAAGCTGTTATTTGCTTGCAGCATTATCGGAACAAAAGTAGTGATAAATCTAATAAAAATATGAGCCAAATATTTGGTCAAATAATGCCTAAAAAGCAAATTTTTTAATATATTTGTTGGCTTCCTGTGCTTATGCTCATAAAAAAAGTCAGCTGCAGATCATTCCAGTAGAAAAAAAATTATTATGAATTTATAATGAGAGATATAAAATAGATTCATGTTGATACTGGCATGTGGTCATAAAGTAAATATATGTATTTAATGATTACATGAAATAAAAATTAACAAAGATTTTTTTTTTCTATTAATTTGATGCAAGGATTGCATGTCATACTGAAATGTTCACATTTATGAATAGAATTTTTTTTTAATTTATATATATATATATATATATATATATATATATATATATATATATATATATATATTTTTTTTTTTTTATATATCTAAAAAAAATATATATAAAAAAAATAGAAATATTGGCTCTTTTGATATCTTGAATTGGTGGCACTTTTGGCTTCCTATATTAATGCAGTCACACTTAATCATATTAACAGGCTTCTGCTTGTTTGACATTTTTAAATTTGACCTCAATATGTTAAGTTTAAATAATTTATTTTGCAGCTCAGGTTCTAAAGCCAGAATATTTTTTTTATTGAAGCAGTGTACCTCCCGGTTAAAACAACCTACAATGCCAGGACAGATTGGAGGAAAATAATCATATGAAGTTATTTTAATTTACTTAAATGTAAAATATACATATTTTAGGTGACATTTGGGTCACCAATTAGGTTTATGTAACTTCAAGTAAGATTGCAAGCATAGTAAGAACACATTGATAGAAACACATGCAGAGTTTATGACAACTTTCTAATTAAAACAGAAATATGGCTCTCTCAAAGATAAAACAATAAAAAAGAAGCTTATTTAAAGAGCTTCAGGCTAAATGACAAAATTTTTGCATAAATTGCTGTCTTGTGTTTTTCAGGACAAGTGGTTGTGGCACCTGGCTGCATAAAGGGTGTGTAAACAGGTTGAAGAGTAATCACCTGGATGCTGCCAAAAGGCTTTGGGAGCTGACTCTATTCTGGGCTGACACAAACAGTTCTGCTCAGAAAGTTTTAGAGTGTCTCAAAACCAAACGAGATGACATCTTCTTGGACAACTCAGTCAATCACAAGTTTCTCTCCTTTCACAAGGATATCATGGAGGAGTATGGCATAGAAGACAAGCAACATTCGTGGGCAGTCATTGAGAAACAGGAGGAGATCATACTGTATGGGCCTTATTACCCTAACTATAGCAGTGGAGAACACAGCGAGGACATCATCATTAAACAAACCCAGGAGCTTCTGCAGGAAGAAAATGTTCCTGTAGACTGGACAGTGTATGTTTTCACAATGAACAGTCCTTGTTTGGCAAGGAACTCTAACCCATGTATGCTAAACCTGGTGCAGAAGGCTCATGACTGGTGGAACATGTATGCAGTGAAGACTTGTATAGGCTATATGAGAAGTTGGGGCTTTAAAGGAAACAAGGAAAACCTGTTCAAGGACATAAATTACAGACAAGTGGAATTGATTACTCAAAGTGCAGACTATGACAGCTACATTGATTCAGTTAATAAGATTGACGGTTTCAGTCCTTTGTGTGTAACTATGTTTTCTGTCGCCAAAAGTGTGCTTGGATCCGAGAAACTAATTTTTCCTTTGATAACGTCAGAGGAGAAGCAGGACCAGAAGAGTTACTTCAAAAGCATGAACAGTATTCTTGAGTCCAAACAGGAAGGAGAGAAAAAAGTTCTTACAAATGAGCTGAACGCAGTCGTTGAAGCAGCAGACCTACTTTTAGGGGAAAACCGGACCTTTGATGAACATTTGGAGAAAGGAAAGGTGTTTTCTCTCACTTATGCTTTCAGTTCAGAGGTATGTGAAGGCCTCCAGGAAGAAATGAGAGGCAGGTTTCAACAGTGCTGGAGGGAAACAGTACAGGACAGGTGTGCAGAGTTTGTCAGGGAAAAGCTGACAGATAAATTTAATCAACGCACCGTTCAGCTTTTCATTGACGACATTCACAATTTTACAAAAGCGTATTTGCAAATCGGGAAACTGAAGTTTTAAAGTCCGGATTTTATTAAACAATATTAAAAAGAGGATGGCAATGTCTGTGTTAGAAATTTTTGTTATGCATAAAAACACATTTAAAGAGACTAATTTGTCATTTATATTACATCAAAAGGGTTTCTTTATTACTCTGCTTACAATATATCACAAATAACAAAGTACATGATTATAATGGAGTGAGGTTTTTTACATAAGCTTATACAGTTCTCATTCTTGTAATTACACATGGCAGTATCCCACGTTTACACTGGTTGCCTCCGCATGCTTCTCAGCAGCAGATTTAAAAGTATTGCAAACACGCTGTACAGAGTATCCAACAATAACAGAGTCATAAAGGATGTTTATTTAAGTCAGGGTTCCCACTAAACAGGAATGCTATTAAAAAGTCTCATCTTTACCAACAAGTAGATGCACATCTAAAGTAAAACCAGCAGATGGAGCTGTTCGTCTTCCTTCATAATACTCGGGAATTATGCTGCTTAGGTAGTTTAGGTACATTTTCTTGGAAAGTGGCCTTAAAGAAGGTGCTCTTATTGCACTTGTGCATCTCTTTCAGCGAAGTAATACTGTGGATGAGGTACGGATAAGATAGGATAAAAGGATATTTTAGAGTAATTTAATTATTTCAGAGTAATTTGTCTTTCCTTGGTTGGTTTGAGCAGAGATTTAAAGAGTTGTGACCACTCTCTAAAGTTGAATCTTAAAAAGTCCTTCACATTCATTGACATAAAGATCTATTTTGTTGCAGGACTGTATTAAAAAAAAAAAAAAAAAACGAATCTCTTTAAAGTGAGTTTTGTAGATTTTAAGTTTGTTTTTACCCCCATTATCATTCAAACCAGTGTAAGGAAATATATATAGTTTATCTCCCACCTCTTTTGTCCCAGTTACAGTTCTTTTAAACTTCTTCATGCCGTAGCTGCTGATATAGGCAAACAGTAAAAAAAAAAAGCAATTTATCTGTCATCTGTCTCGTGTTTCTAATTTCAAATTATACTTACATGAAATATGACACCAAGAAAAAATACAAATGCACCAAAACTGACAGTTAAAAATAGGGGCAGAAATTGTGATCAGCTAAGAAAATGTTTTTTTAGTTTGATCTAACTTGATCTGTAACTGATCATTAAACTACTTTTATTGCCTCATATTGATTTTTTTTTACTCGACTGCATACATTTTAATGCAAGATTGTGCTAGTGCAATGAAATATGGATTTATTCTTAAATTCTACACATCTTTACACGGGGTGCAAATCAATGTAGAGATCGCTGTCCAAGTTACGAGTTAAAATGAATGATTTTCAGATGATGCATTTATGTCAAAACACTAGCATATCATCTAAAATGATCCGATCTTGGGTTACTTGGTGGTGTAGTTTATTGCATGGAGTTTGCATGATCTACTTGTGTATGTGTTGCTTCTATTTGGGTACTCTAGCTTCCTCCATCAGTCCAAAAACCTGAACATTATAGTTTTATTGGCAACTCTAAATTGCCCTTAGGTGTTTTTCCCTGCGATGGACTGGTGACCTGTCCTAGGTGTACCCCGCCAGTGATCCCGATAGACAAGTGGAACAGGATGGATTTCCTGTCTTCCCCTGCTCCTTAAAAAGACAATGCTCATTTCTATAGATTTATCATTCACACGTTTCCCAGAAAGGATCATTTTTAAATTGTCCAGGAATTAAAAACATTTATTGCTCTTTTTTGCTTGTAAACTTACCTTGAAGACATACTTGTTCTAGCACCTTTCTGGTGGAACTTTTGTTAGAAAATTGTGTGCTTATGGTTTTTATTGTAAATATAATCTTTGATATCCATAAAATCTGGGGGGAAATGTCCATAACTATGTTTTATATCACTGAAGGCAACGCTTACATCTTAGCCACTCATACTTCTCACATTTTGTTTGCACTGTTTCGGTATCTGTTAGGCAGCTGATGCTTCCGTACTGGTTTTGTATGAAAAGACATATTCCTTTTTAGTCAGTTTGACGGTAAGTTGTCCTTCTCTTTTCTGTTCTTTTCTCATCTCATGGTGGTAGTGTGCAGTCATCACACTGATGCCACAGATTGCAGGAAACGGAAAAGCCATCTCCCACTAAAGCAGCAGTTTCTGGAGAGTTTCATTAGGATGTTGTGCATAGGTAGCTTTTTTTTTTTTTTATGTAGAGCTGTAGCTCTCCTAAGCCATGATTAGGTTGTTCCAAGGCTCTGTTTTGGAGCTGGAGGAGCCACTGTGTCCACCAGGGGACATCTTCAGAGGAATGGAGCCTCCATGGGCTGTCATATACGATGGTAGAGCTGAAATCTGTAGAGAACCATAAAGAAGAATTCATCATAAAGACTTATTAGTAGATTTCTAATTATATCAGTCTCTGGTTGACAGGCTCATAGTCATGCAGTGGTCTACCTGTGTGTGTGAACCGTGATGTGAGTACAAGCTGTGATTTTCTGGCTCTGTCTTTATCTGACGAGACTCCACTGCTGCGGTGGTGGTGGAGGTTGTGGACGAGGAGGAGGAGGAGCGGGGAGTGCTGCTTGGAGTAATCGGTGCCCCCTCGCTGCCTGGAAGTCCTGCAGGGTGCAGAAGAATGCTTATTATGATCCAGGTGAGCCAGGTGCCATAATGCTTGTATCTAGAACTGCTGTGCAGTTCCTAACTTCACGAACTTCTTATTTGTGTTTGCTAACCGTAAGGAGAATTTTTAGAGAAATCATTATTTCTTTCTTTAAAATTAAATTTTTGTTGTTTTTTTTTATAACTATGCTTTTAAATAATTTTAAAAATCCTGTTCTATTCTATCTTTTGATAGAATAGATTACGGTAAGTAAGATTTGAGTTAAACAGAGGCTCGACTGTAGGACAAATGTAAAGGAAATATCTCAAACGCATCATCCTTTTCTGACATTGGGAAGAAGTCAAAAGAAATCAATCAATATTTCAGGGAGAGATTTCTGGATTTGTATAAATGTGAATCATCCAATCTCCCGAAGCTTTAAAGGTGTTACATTCATTTATCAAATAATTATCGTGTATAAATAGCATGGGAATGATCAGTGATTGTGTCATTCAGACAGGTTGAAATGTGTGGGGGGGGGAAAAAACAAACTAAAGGGAAAGACACTGTGAAGGTGATAATTGAAGCTGATAAGAGATAAAAAAAATAAAACAGATTATATCTCCCAAACACTGTCAGGGACAATGATTAATTTTGTTGAGATTTTTTCTGTTGTCTAGTGCAGTGTTTCCCAACCTTTTTTTGACTTTTTACCCCTTTGGGAATTTTGTCTCGCCGTTAGTACCCTTCTCAGTCAAAATGATTGATTATTGTCCAAAAGTGGAACATACTGATTATAAAAATAATCTAATAATCTTTAATCTTTTAATTTGAACATTTAAATATTAGTCTTTTTATGGTTTTTATCTCAAATAAAAAAACAACATAGATGTGTTGCCAAAAAATTAGTAAGGAATCCAAATAAATACATAATAAAATCATATTATAAACCTGTATTTATAAAACTGGAGCTCCTCTGAGTAACTCACCTTTAAATTTGAGGAATTGGGAGCAAAATACGGATCAAAAATTATAGTCAGACCAACTTATTTAGTTTTACTTTGTTTTCATCAAAACACCTGTGCTGCTTTGATGAGCTCTGATAGCTCAGTGTTAAAAACAGCTGATACCAGGTTGTTCTCTACATCCAGTTGGTTGATAAAAGCTTGTTTAATTTTTCAACTGGGTCCTCAGAAAGCAAAAACAAATCACTAGGATCACTAGGGGTAGGTGTATCCCCCGGTTGGGAATCATTGGTTTAATAAAACTATGATAGATTGTTGTTTGTTACAATGATCATTGTTAAACCAGGAGGAAAAAGGAGAAGCTTGCAAACCTGAGGACACAATCATTAAGGAGAACAGGGGTGGCAGCAACATTTTGCGTAAAATGAACTGAAGTTGGCAAAATAAACTGTATCATGTGAAAAGATTATGATGTTCAGAATTTGAAACAATATCTGGTTTCAACTGTATTTATGATTAAAAACTGTAGTCTAAGTTAGAATATAATAGCAGCTCATCAGTTGGTCTTTGTGGAGGTCCAGATATTACCAGTCTCTGTGTTTTGTGTGTTTTGGAGCTAACCTGTTTGGGACTTGTTTAGGTTCTTTGGTTTACGTTTGCGCGTCTGGATTCCCTCTTTCTTCATAGCAAGAGGTCGGGGGACCTAAAATGACAAGAGGAGACAAAATTCAGACAAAAAATTACAGTGTCAAAAATAATTTTTAACATCCAGGCAGTTTTATGAGGCTCTGAGTGAGATTTTAAATGCAGTTTCTTGATTGTTTTTTCATCCATCAACTAAATAATTTTTAATAGTGTTTGCTTGCTTTCTTGTGCATCGTCATAGACGAGGTTTAATTCTGGGATGACAGCTATGCAGAGAAATTTTATGGTCTGTGACTTACAGTATAGCCTGAACCCTGACAAGCTGACCCCCACCCTCACCTGAGCCCGTTTAAGAAAGGGTGCGAAAACAAAGCATGAACTAAAAGTTCAACAGACCTGAGAAAACGGTGCAGAGTGAGAAACTTCAACTTAACAATATAGGGATTTATGTAATAATAGCAATGTTTAATCATTAAAATAGGGTGAGTTTAACAGTAGGATCGAAAATAAAACACAAAGTTTACATGTCTGAAGGCATAACATAATCCAGCAAACTAAAAAGGTATTTTGATGTTATCATTAATTATTGAAATTATTTTAAACAGCCTATAAATAAAAGATATTTTATATATATATATATATATATATATATATATATGTAAACATCTTAAACTTAGGTTGATAGAGCCTTATAGAGCCTTTATAGAGCCTTGCGGTGGTATTCTTACCTATAAAAGTAGCACTTTTTCACATTACAAAACAAACCACAGTTATCCTAATGGATTTTATTGAACTTGACTGACCAACAGCTACAGAGAAGTTGTTTTTTTTTTTTTATTTAATCTCTCTGAGCCATACAACTATGTATTACTGCTGCTCCAACTTAAATGATTCGCTGCATTTGGTAACAAGTACTTAAATTGAGTTTGCCCAACTTGATTCAATACTTATCACTAAATGAAGCAACTTGTTTATGTTGGATCTGCATTCTCTTTTCAGAGAGTGCAGCTCACCGTCTTTTTTTGCTATTTCTGTACCAGTTTTGCACATCTATAGATTTATATTTTTGGTCATTGTTTTTTTTTTTTTTTTTTTAAAGAACCTCAAGCTCAGCCAGTGTGGATCAACGGAATCTGTTAACAAAAAATTTTCCAATTATTCAGATTCTGGATTTAACTAAAGCTTTGACTTGGCTCATTCAAACATATTAACATGCTTTGATTTAAACACTCCACTGAAGCTATGGTTGTTTGTTGACTTTTTTCTTGCAGGTAGATTCACTTTTTGTTGCCTTCAGCATGTTTTGCAATCAGGAAAGTCCTGATCCTGCTTTAGCCATCATTCTCTCAACTCTGATCAGCTTCCATGTCCCCTCTGAAGAAAAGCATCCCTCCAGCATGACACTGCCACCCCCATGTTTCACCAAAAGAATGGTTGTGCACAGAATGATGGCTCATGTTATATTGCCATTGCTCACAAATCTGATAATCTGATTGCAGTTTTGGAACTACTTTAAAGTTTTATGTCTTAAACAATTTAAAAAGCATATATTATTTCTCTTCCACCTTAGAGTTATGTTCTAGTTTGCAGTTGTCTGATCTATAAAATCCAAATAAATAACTTTAAGATTTGTTTATAAATTGGCATGGTAAAGTGGTTCCAAATATTTTCATTTAAGGCATGTTTTCTTAATATATTTTGTATTGCTCTTACCCCGTGGAGTTTCATGTAAAGTCCACAGGCATTGCACACGGGCTCTCCCTCTGCATTTCTTCTCCATAGGGTGGTGGTGGTGGTATGACAGTTTGTGCAGGACAAGCCCACCCTCCTTGAGGCAGACTGCAACACACAACACACATCACTCATCAAACAAAAGATAGAGAAGATAAACGTTAAACACATTTATGCTGTGATCTCCTATCACCCACCAGCCGTCTTTGGGGTTTGATGAGAGGTCGGTTGATGCCATTCATTTTGTGGTACAGGCCGCACGCGTTGCACAGGTAGTGGCCTGTGCCATCACGCCGCCACAGGGGGGTTGACATTGCACCACAGTTCACACATTCTCGTCCCTCAGCAAAGTCATCAAACAGATCTGAGGGGATGTTAGAAAGGTAATGTGAGTTGGGAAGTTCATTATCTTGATGGTGGGTTGAAGCAATTGCAGTGGCATTCATAAACCAGCAGGAGACGCAGGAAGCTGCTTTAAGAGCCCCACACAGCAGCGACTGGAATGGAATCCCCCCCTTATCTCACAGCTCCCCTTAAGATAAAACCTGTCTGGAAATAGAGATGGTATATGGGGCTCCATCAAACTGAAATGTCCATCACATCTCCTTCTCCCTGGGCCTCTCAGATAGCTAAACATCTGATAATTGTAATCTCCAGCCTCTCATTGCCAAATAACAAAGTGTCTCCCAGGACCCACTTAGCCATTAGGAATAAGAGACATCAAACTGCAGATTAGAGCAACTTCGTCTCCTTAGATCACAACCAGTAAGAACACCTTGATGTGTTGCAGACATTAATACGGCAATGCATCTAAAACCACAATATAAATACTTTTAAACTAATCACTCTGCAGTGCTTAAATGCCCCTCTACAGATAGCAGAAATCTGGGCTGGATCTATCCCTCCCTCCTCTGGCTCTGCAGCAGTGCTTGTATGGGGGGGGCTCCTCAAGGCTGAGAGCCAAAGCAGAGCAAGTTAACCTTGAGCTATATGCTTCAAATGTAGCCAACACAACACAGAAAAACAAAAAAATGCAAAGCAGAAATCCACCATATCTGAATGGATTATCTTTTTGAGTTAAACAGTGTACATGTCAGAGCGTCTTTATCGGGTCTCAGCCTTAAAAACATCCACACAAACACCTCAGGAGGCCAAAGGTTAGAGTGGAAATAAACAGCTACAGAGTGTTACAGAGGAGGAGGTAATGCCCAGACAAATTAAACCAAGTTACAGGAATGTTTTGTTTTTCTTCCTGTTTATGAGGAGCATGACTGTGGTAATAGTTTTGGTGCATATATGAATAGAATAGAAAATCCCTTTATTTTCCCACAATGGGTAAATTGTGGTGTTACAGCAGCAAAGGTTATAATAGAAGTGGTCACACAATGTAAACCTTGGAGAATTGTATGAAAATGACAGATAGAAATATGGATTATGTTAATAATACTTTGTTAAGTAAGCAGCTAACAACTTTTTATGGTAAGAAAATTGCAAAATGTGAAACTAATAGTTTATATTGAACAGATAAAAGTTAGATTCCATATAGAAAGCTACTTTAAATTTTTAGATGTCTGTTTACAAGTGTTCATATATACTGGAGAAGGTAATGATAGTGTTTGGCTATTAATGAAATATTTTCATAAATCATTTCATAAAAGAAAAGGTATGTCCCTCTTGCCTTTTTATTGGCTTTTTTAAATTGTATTCATACTGGTTAAGTTTAATTATTTTCCTTCAAATTAGCCTTTTTGCTATGGTATTTTTTTATTTTTTTATTTTTTACTTTGATGCAGTGAAACAAGGAATAATAAAACCAAATGTTCTTTTTGCTTGTACTTGTTATTTTAAATACACATTTTAGCTTTGCAAATTAGCATTCATAGTATTATATTGAAGATAATGGCTTTTTTCTTTTTTTTTCTTCAAAAAAGGCCCATTACAATATTTTCCTGTGTGAATTTTGTTTTGATTTTTTTCCACATGAGAATGGCAAAATTTAGATATAAATATTGATAGTAGTTAAAACAAAGGCATTAAAAAAAGACTTTGTTTAAAGCCTGTTTCTGTTGAAAATTGAATTTCTGTAAATTTCCGTAGGCCTATTTTAACATACATGAGTGTAAACAATAAATTAAAAACTACTAAAAACTGTCAATAATAAAAAAAAAAAAACTGATTCCATGTACTTCCATGTAAAGATCCCTGAATGAAATAATTTCCATGTTTGACCAATAGATTTGTTTTCCTCCTCTTCCATAGCTAAACATTAATCTTCCACTGAATGCTTCTAATCAGACTGAGATTTGATGTAATTTGTTGGGATTGAAACCATCAACGTGTGACAGGGAAACAAAAGCTGTGAGAGGAATAAAGAAAGCTTTTCCTGGATGAGTGTGAGTGTAATAAGATGAACAGGTCAGAGTAGATCAATGCATTTATCTCCAACTCTGTTACACAGCTGATCTTTTTCCCTTTCAATGGAGGGGGTGGAACCTTAAATAATCCCAGGTCACTTTAATCACTAACAGACAGTAAAGTAAATACAATACAGAAAGCAATGATGTGATCAGCAGCTACAATGGATTAAATAATAAGGATGACAGAGGATTTTGTTATCCAACACTGAACTGGAACTTAAGCTTAACAGATGCATGAGAATAATTAGCCCGTTATTATAATGCAAAAGTGAAAAATAGACATGTGAGCTGCAATGACTGTATTATAAGCTATTGAAATGGGCCTATTGAATAAAAAGGCCTAAACTATTAGACAAGTTGTTTGATGTGAAATAAAAGGTTTGTAGTAAATAAAATAATTATTTTTATTTTCCATACATTTTAAATCTATTCACATCCTAAATGACCTCGATGTGATTCCGAAACGCCTCAATAAACTGAATGAATAAACCATAACCCGCAATGAAGGCGATGCTGAGTCAATTTTCATTTTTCTTCAAACAAATAATGTCCCCAATAATAATATTCTAATGTATTCATTCATTTTTATATAGGCCTATGTTAATTTTTGAATAAAAAGTTTGGATGCATTTCCTTTGTCTACTCTGGACATAAAAGTAGAAAAAAAAAATGTTTCCATAACTTACAAATTCGCTCTAATATTTTTATGCGTGGATTTATGCCTTAAAATGTTCAATTGTATAGCATGAAATTAAGCGGCATTATTTTGTGTTGTCATTGTGTTAATATCTTCATCAGCTCTATCATTCTTTTTTTTTTTTGTATTTAATTTGCTTTTTCATGGTTTTATTTTCCCCCCCACACCTCCGCATTTTCAGCTATAATAGTGGCTATTTTTGAATTATATCCTTCTGCCAGCCGGGTTAAACTCTTTACTACAAAATCGTAACATCTGTAATTAGTTTTCCTTAAAAAAAAATAAAAAAAAAGCCTATATGTTGAATAAAATGAAAATACGCAGTCAACGATGACAAAGGGCAACATTTATTAATCTAATTTTTTAATTTTTAGCTGATTTAAAAGGTTTATATTGTATGGTGTATTTTTTTCTCAAAATTTTAACGTTATTTTTAAATAATAATTATTATTAATATTGTGTTTGTGAAAACATTTAAGTCTTGACTGCCTATAGGCCTACATATTTCACGTTCCAACAACGCTAAGAAAAACAATTTTCCTTATTTTATTATTTATTATTTATTATATCAATGTGTCTAAACTGTATTTTTTGGTTAAATGCATTTAAATATAGACCTACTGTGTGGTGTTTCCTGCTCTCACCTATGTTTGGGTGCCGTGCAGTGCCAGCGGAAGGGCCGGTCTGCAGACCGTGCAGCACCGGGCTGTCGAAGGGAGAGGTCGGCCAGCTTCCCCCTACGTTGGGGCTCATATAGGCCGAATAGGGGCTGGGGTAGGAGCCGCCGAGGCTCCGCGGACCGTAGTGCTCCCTTCCGTTGGCAGAGATGTTCAGCGGGCTGGTGTAAGAGACCGCCGCCTCGCGGGCCGTTGCCACCCCGGATGACAGCGGCGGGCTGGTGGAGAAGGAGAAGCGCGGAGACACCGGGGAGTGGTTGTAGGAGGGCACCGAGTCTGCGCCCGGTTGCGTCCAGGCAGAGTGGCTCGACACGGGGTTGCCCTGCTGGGAGGCACCGGGCGTCTGAAGGTACTGCAGCGCAGGGATCATCGGGGTGACCACCCGGGTGGTGGGCACGTAGACCGGAGAGGTGGCTGCCGAGGCGTTGTGGAGAAAGCCGGCCTCATAGGAAGAGGGTCCGTGGTTAGTAGTCATTATGCCCTGGTACATATCCTGACCTTGGAGATGGTCATCCGTGGAGTGAAACGTGGAGGATGGACGCTATCTGGCGTATTAAAGGCCCGGTTCTGGTCCAGATCTGATCTGCAGTGAAGTTAAGAGAAGCGAGCGAATTATGGAGAAAATTAAAAACGGTCTGAAGGCTGAGAGACGATAGGCTGAATGAGAGAGGAGGAGGAGGGGAGAGAGACCATCAGTCCCATTTCTCTCCCTCCCTCTCTCTCTACGTCGATCACACACTTTAATTCAAATCCTGCTAACTTATCAAAGTTACTAATCATTTTTATGTAAAAAGATTGGCCTCGTTTGTTTATTTTTGGATTGTTCATATTCAAAGTTTTATTCAGACACTCTGAGTCTTATTAAACTAAAATCTATTTTCTTCCCTTACCCATGATTTACTTTTTTTTTCGAAGTTACAACAAGGAGAGGAGGAAATATTGAAGATTAATTAAAGTTTTTATTTTTATTTATTTTTTTTTACAGGTTATATAAATTCGTTAACTGCTTCTCATTTGCTTTTCTCTCGCCTTTAATGCAAAAACATGTAAAAGAAATAAATAAAAACATCATAAATATTATAGGCCTATTTATAAATCAAAGCCATGAGTTGCTGACATTTTTTTTATTAATTTCTCGTGGGTAAAATTTTGCTGTGATTTGATTTTTTTTTTTTTTTTATATATAGGCTATATTTCCGTGCGGCCTTGTCTTTCTTACATCTCCGCGCGCCTATATTTGTTGTATAAAATAAAAATGAAGCAGGATATAATATCAACATTTCATTTTTGTTTCTTGATCCCAAAATTAATCCAAATTAGTCCCCTAAAAAAAAATAAAAAAAAAATAAGGTGGTAATTCTGTGCATTGAAATATAGACTATTTTTATTTTAGGTCAATTTTGTCCTTGATATCGTTTGCTCAGAGATTAAAGGGACTGGCTATATGATTATTAGCCTATAATCTGTTCCCATGAATTTTCTAAATAAAATTTATTTAAGCATTTATGCAGATGAATTACTTTGCTTGTAAACTGTAAGCGAGAGGGCCAAACATGATTCATTTCCCCCTCTTGTCAGTGAGGAATGGCGCTGCTGTAGTCGGAAGTGGCCGGCGGCGGCTGCCGTCCTCATCAGGACAGATTTATACCTGTCATCGACACCAGTGAACATAAACACACAGGACCATTTCATTGTGCGTCCACTTCCCACTGACAACCGCACTCTGAGTTATGGAGCCGCTACGGAGGCCTATAAAGCCCCGCGGAGTGTTTTCCTTCAGTGTTTAAAAGAAATAATGTCAGAAATCAGGATAAAGGACATTAATTAATACTCAGCAGCTTTGAAAACACTCCAGGTTGTTTACAATCATAGTGAGAACACTAGACTAGAAGTCATAATCATAATTTTATCAAAAAATTTGATAGGA